TTTTTTTTACCGGCCGAGGTTGAATATTCTTATTTTTCTGCAAATGTTAGGTTGAAAATATTCTTGTGAATATTCTTAGATTAAAGCGTATGACATTTCTGTTTTTGAATGTATTTAGAGCCTGGGTGGTGTTAAAGTAATCTTGAAGCCAGACTGTAAGCATTATATGACGCCTATAACTTTTTGCAGAAAGGTTATTGGCATCGAGCAATCGTTTATTCTTAAAATACTCTTAGAATTTCGCAAATTTCATATTCTTATAAAGCATATTCTTATAAAAAAAGACTAAAGGGTGTTGCAAATTCCATGACCCTAAAAAGGAAATCGCAATACTATCCGCTTACAATTACAGAAAGAAAAAGAAACAAACATCCTTGGCCACTTAAAAAAAGCGGATATATAAAGGAAAATGTTAGACGTAACATGTAAGTCCAAAAACCTTATCTACTTCATTGAATGTAAAAATGCACTCAGCGTTATTCTCCTTTGCCAATACACGACCATACACTGGGAACAAAAAAGGGCATCCTCATTTTCAATGAACGCTTTGGAGAACATTGTCGCAAAACACTACCGACGTAGTTACCTTATTACAGGTTCAAACCACTTGAAATTATCTCAGCACTCTGCATGTCAATAATCTCTCTGGAACTATTTCATAGTGATTCACCACTACGTACTCTGTAAGAAAAGCATTTAAAGCACACTTGATTGACAAAGCTAAGACACTGAAGTCGGATATGTTTGTTTTGCTGGCGACCTATCATTATCATTTCTCTTATAGTTTAACTTTTATGTTGAAATCTTCACCTAGCGTGACTGCTCATTTTTCTCTTGTGGCTTCTTACTGAAGAAGGTTTTATATCGAGCAAACATATTTTAGTATGTCGCTGTTCACGTTTCTAATTTGATTTCTGTTTTCAGCTCTTAATGTCGTGAGGATTTGGGTCGGCTAGCAGCACTCGTAAGATCTCACATGAATGGCTTGATACCCTTTGACAGGACAATAGAACAAACAACAGAAACAATGCCCCTAGCCCCAAAATAATAACAGCTGCTGACAATCAAAAGGATTACAAGCTTATGAGTGCTGCTAAACCGACTCCTGCAGATGTTACCGCCGAGACTCCTACTGAAAGGTCGGGGATGCTGTTCGGAAGATTTATTTAAATCTCTAATGAAAACTTAAGTTGGCGCGGCTTAAGTTTTTTACGGTTGAAAGAGATTGCCTCAGCCATTTTAATGTCTGAACAGGGTCTAGACCACCAACACAGTACAACGGCGTTTTCATTTCTTGGCGTGCAACCCTAAACGAAACCTTGACGATACCAAAATCTACGTATTTCCACCCCTACGCGAGATGACGAGCTTCCCGGCTTTTGCAGATGTAAATCCCCTGAGGGATTTACTTGTCATCGTTTCAATTGCGTGTGTATTGTGATGGAGACGCTGCGCTGCGAGCTAACAAAGAAGGCCGCCGAATTTTGACCCTATTGCCGGAGGAAGGTCTTTTAAAATAGCTTCAGTACTCAGTGGGTATTACTGTCGCGTGCTAAGTCCCATGTAAACCTAAACGAGTCTTATGGCTCACATTTCGGGTTTCAACCCAAACAGAGATTTCCGGTGGATTTAGCACGTAACCTCTAAGACCCGGGAAACAGTGACGTATAAACGTGGCGACCTGCTATCGCTGCTCACAGGAAGTTCATTGGCAAATGTTACGGCGTTTGTTATCTGTCAAGTGGATATATGTACACAAGAAACGCTTCAAAAATAAATGATCGCCAGTTGACCTACCTGATTGAAACAACTGCAGTTCACATGAGCAATGCTATGTTATGATCCCCCAATCTGCGTAATGCCCGGATTAACGATTCGGCTTTAGCTAGGGCTTGTAAGCTAGAGAGAGCTTGTTTAATCGCATATTTGTCAACCAGGGTAGTTATTTAAATTAGGGGATGCTGTTATGTAAACTCGGGAATGGTTGTACGAATGGGGGAACTTACCGTTTTAAATAATACATACAAATGAGGGGAGGTGTGGGGTGCATTGCAACTGAAGTAAAGACATCCAGTGCACCCCGGACTTCTCTTGGTACAACGGTTGAGCTCCGTGTCTACACATAAAAGAGGTCCCCGGACAGAATCCCTTTTTAGCTCTGCGACATCGTGCGCGACAGTTTCAGCGCACATCCCTTCACCCAGCTGCTATTTCCTTCCTAACGCTCCCCTGCTATACTAGACCGCGAGAACGCATCAGCGATCCACGCGAGCTGGCGCGCGGGGAGGTAAGGGTGCATAAAATATGTGTATTTTTACAGAACTTTTTCTACAAAATCTTAAACGGGTTTACTGCACTGCCGTCAAACCTTGAGCTCTCGATGACATTTAATTCTTTTCTTGACTGCTGTGATTTCGGAGGAGGAAGTAAAAATGTTACAGAGATTGGAATCCCGAAACCTCCACTTGAACTTCGAGTTGGACTTTGAGTTGAACCTAAACAGCGTTGTGGTTACCATAAGATGCGTTTCGGTTACCCCGCTGAAGAACGCTCAGCTTAGGCTGATTGTTACTCAGGTTAGCCTGTTTACCGGCTAAAGGTGACACGATATCTACCCAAAATTGTTGTCTTGAAGGCCAGTTTGGAGTCTAACTCGAGGTACAATTCGGTTTTCAACTCTATAACTCACGACGTCCTGCAGGTTCACGGTCATCGAAGCTTTGAACAGTTTGAATTGCCGGTTCCAGTTCGAATTCTAGTTGGAGTTCGAGTTCGACTTTATTTTAGCTTGTTAGCCTAAACAGGAATACGGTTAGCTTGTTTAAAGATAATGGTAAAGGTAACTCGCCAGCATTAATCTACCTCGATCTAAATCAAACTCGAGCCTCGATGCCTGGAGGTCGCGCTTCCTGCTCGCAGAAGCCAGCTGGCACGTGCAGATCAGTTCAGTTTAACTGAACAGGGCTTAAATCAGGTAGAAACTAGAATATAGAAGACAAGGCCAAAGCAAAACAGTGAGAAACAAGAAAACTGTCCTCTAAAAACACAAGAAATTACTTATCAAATATAACTTGTAACTACGTTTTTGGCTCACGTGCCTACCCAATCTCCTCTCCACTCTTGGGCTGACTCGTTCCGCGCGTTTTCGCCACTCGCGCATCCGCTTGCTCGCCGGCTCGGCGAGGACGGAAAAAAAATTTGGCACGTGCAGAGAAACGTGACTACTATAACTTATACAGTAGGGAGATAGATTTGGAATGACTTGTAAAGTTATGCGTAAGCTGTACTCGATATTAGCATAGCTTCAACAGGGAGAAATTAGAATATCTACATGTATCAGCAGTATACAAGACAGCAGGAAACTAACAAAATTTCCTCTACTGAACTAGGAATTACAAATCAAATATAATTCATAACTATACCGTTTCATGACTTTTTTTAGCTAGTTATTGGTTGAAAATTGACTAGTGGAGACTAAATTTGTTTCTTTACCGGTAAACAAATCGGAGAGAGGATAAGCCATGCGACACTTAAATCATCGCTTAAGAGAGATTCTCTAGTGCTCGCGGTTTTAGTAACGTTGATAACAGTCGGTTTCGTGTACCAAGCCTGATGGAGTACGTGGTAAATTCAAAATAAAGCTGCTCTTTATAATAGTTCACGTGTAGAACGCACGTGAACCAGTAAATTTTTGTTGCTCCCTGATTTTCGTTTCTTCTAATGAGTCCTTCATCTTTGAACATTGTTTATCTTAAATCTTGTCTTTCAAGTCACGAGACTTTTATTTGCTTACTTTAGTAACCATTGAGTAAGCCCTTCAAGAGCCTGAGGACAAGAAAAAATTACAACTATCCAACCCTGACCGTTCTTAACCGCAGAGTAACACACACAGTTGAACCTCGAATGCTTTAGAATCCCAGGCTTCGAGACTATCTTGAAAACAGATGTAACGGTTTTTTAAATACCTATAGTTGTATAACTATGATTTATATGGACCTTGTCTTTTGTTTCATTAGCTACGAAAATAGCATCCAGAGATAACAGTATTTGTTTCTCCAATAAACAGATTTATAAATAAAGATACATCTGCGACCATCATTGGGTACTGAGTTTATCCAGTTTGTATTCAGTAGCATAATTGTAAAGAATCTTTACCCTTAATTTCAGTCATCAAAAAATTATCTGTAGGAATTTGATTACACAACTTGCTGTATTCGTTGACTTAATTATTTCCGGGCAAAAAAACATCGAAGGGCCTGAAGATGTGGAACAAACCTTGTTTTCGTTCATCCGTTGGTCATGATGTTGTTGACAACAAGTTCACTGTTTCAAGTTTATTTTGTATTGCAGTAGGCTTTATATTACTGAGAGAAGTCACTGATCTCCAATGCTACTCTCGGAACCCTAAGAGTACAAGTAAAATTGACTTTTGGTCTGGTGGGGGCGGAGGAGGGTTGGTACTTCTTTCAAGCTGATCTTTTCAACTCGATGGTCCGATAAGAGAAACATAATAGCGACAAACTGGATTGCTTTTCAGCTCTTCCCGTCAGAAAAAAAACTTTAAACGTTGCCCCGAGTAGCCAAATAATAATTTGTAAACGGGGCAAACGGAAATCCCAGGGACACACCTACTAATTCTGCATGTGGGAGCCTGCGGTGATGACAACTCAAAATGAAAAATAATATTGTTGTTTACAACACTTGGGTGAGCCAGTGTTGGTTCTTCAAGCAATGCAAGGGATGTTAAAACTGGCACAAAAATAACGCTTCCACCTAAGAGAGTGAAAAGGAGCAATGTATCAAAGATTACTGCGCGTACAGGCGCGAATACACGCGAACGGAATTGTCTCGTGCATGATTTGACTCGCTGTAATTCACGTGCCTTTCGTCCAGTGCCCGGTTGGGCATGGGCCAAAGACCAGCATTATTTTGATGCGCGTGTTAAGTGCGTGTATTCCGACTGAAGGTTTTTGGCAAAAGAGGCGTCAAAAAAAGTGAAATTGTATTGATACTAAGGTTCTTACCGACGTCTAGTTTTCTTCTCTGCACACACAGAGAAAAATTTCATCGAATGAAGTGGGAAAAGTATTATTTACCGCTAATTGTAGCCCGATAGACGCTGTGCGTTTGGTAGCCAATGCGTGACACTCTGTTCACGTGAAACTAAGGAAACACGAGAATTGTGCGATATCAATTGTCATTGACCCTCACGAGTACAAGAAAATACCCTGAGGTGGCCGATAAACATATACGCCAACAGTATTTTTTGGTGAACATGTTCATACGCGGTCATCCAGATCACATCATGTTCTCTGAAAAAGGCACGGTCGGTCTTCCTGTGAAAATACAGAAGAAGCTTTCCCCTGGAGTACACATGGCCATGAACACGATAATGTGTGTTCTAACCAGCGTTTTCCGCGTAGATGCCCAGCGCTCTGGCTCAGCAACTAACAAGATTCCTGCTGTGTTTAGGTTGGACGAAGGAACTCTTTTGAAGATATTTGGTTTTCTTCCAGTAAAGGATTTGCTACGGGCATCCCAAGTGTGTACGTTGTGGTACAGGCTCTCGTACGACCGTCTGTTATGGGGAGCCGTCGATTTGAGGCGCTTTTCCAAATCTTTCGATGACCCTGAAAATTTCAACTCACATGCCGTTAAGCGGTTGGCAGGAAACATACAATGCCTTGACCTGAGTGGGTTTAACTTGTCAGAAGAAAATCTGGCAGCTCTTGCTACTCAGTGCAAGGGTTTGCGTGTGTTGAAACTGAAAAGTGTAACATTTTCAACAGATCCAAGGAAAAAATGCAAAGAAACTCGTGGCGGCCAAAGCACTGTTCTGTTTCCCAAGCATCTACACTATCTGGATATACGATTCTCCCATGGAAACCCTAAAGTGTACCGCGCTATTGGGAAAGAGCTCGGCAACATCAAATGGCTTGGTCTTTGCGACGCGTTTTTCCGGAGTACTTTGGCGGCAGGCGAATTACAAACAGCTATAGACAGCTTGAAACATCTCCGAAAACTGGACCTCAGCCACTGTCTGTTACTTAAAGACAGCACTTTGGTTCACTTCGCGCGCTGTCGCCATCTGGAAGTACTGAGCGTGCGCAGATGTTCTTTCTTGACGGGCAGTTTTGTTGAAGTTTTTCTGGAGTCCTGCACCAAGCTCAAGACTCTCATTTTGGACGGGATTAGTTTGGATGACGAAGCGCTGCGAAAAATCACCTGGAATTGCTCTTCACTGAAACATCTAGAGCTGGGATGGTGCTCTTTTATCACACCGAAAGGACTCAAATCAGCCTTGCCTCAGATAGCGAGAATCCAGACTTTAGAGTACCTGGGATTGTGCGCTATCGGAGAAGAAAAAGCACTGGACGATGAAATTCTGCTAAAGCTAGGAACTAGTCTAGCATGCTGGGGATGCAAAAAACTGAAATCGCTAAACGTGAGTCGTTCACAGTCCTTAACACAAGATGGAGTGATTGCGTTCAAGAAGTTAGGCACTTCTGTTGAGATGCTAGACACAACGGATTGCCCCGGGATGGAAATCAACGCAGCAAAATTCAGTAAGAAGAACGATAAGAATCAAAATGATCAGGTATTTGTCCAGAGCAACCACCCCACGGAGATTTGCGGGGAAGAAGTCTCAAGAAACAGAAAGGGGTCTGTCAGCGCTACACAGTTTGCCAGATCCAAGTACATTCTGGAGACACCTCTTTAAGACATTACATTGTGCACGTTTGTACATTTCCGGATAATTTTTTAAGATTGCAATCCAGATGTTTTTTACTTAAAGTAGTGGCCTTGATTAGGCCAAGGCCGGTTCTAAATTAGCGGCTGGCCCGGGGACGAGCGCGAATCGGGCGTTCGTGAGTGTTTCTTTTCTTGGTGGCCTGGAGCCGCCACTCGGTCGGCTCACGCAAGTTTTGAAGTTTTCTCGACTAATTGAAAACTTTGCGAATATTGTGCTATTTATTTAATGTAAACATATTGCCTTTTGTGTTACAGAAGAGTTTGACTAAACATTAGCGATTACATCACTTGCAGTGAATTAGAAATTTCTAAAGTCTTTTCCAAGGTTTTGAGAGTTGAAAATTATCAAACCTTGGAATTTTGACTTATTTATGCTTTTAGGATTTGAAATCAAGTCAAGATGAAGTTGACTTGTAAAAAAAAAAAACCAGACAGTAATTATCATAATAACAACTTTATTCATCAATACTTCGGGTTTCTAAGGAGTAAATAATGTCTAAATTTTTTCGCTTGTGCCTGGCAGAAATTGATTCAAAGCGACGTGGACATGACACTGTAGGAAGGTAGGCGTCATGGTAGCCTTCTACGCAGGCGCTCTTTGGGCACGTCACGCAATCTTCGTGGGAGGAGAATTGCATGACAAGCCAAAAGAGCGTCTGGTGTCATGGCGGTCACAAAAATGAATACCGGCTCATCTTGATGGTTGTTTTTGATGTTATGTAATAAGTTGGTTGCCTCGCTAGACTTTTTTGAGGTTTTAGCATCACGAGTGCTAGAAATTACTCACATAATTACGTGTATGTGATAGCACATGGGTGGAGCAGGCTTTGTAGACAATCTAAATGATTTTGTGATTTCCAGCTGCTTAGACAATGTAAAAGAATGTGCGAATATTGCTCTAGATGCTACGTGTCGAAAAGAATTGAAATTAAAGTGGCTCTCCTTACGTTTGTCTAGCTGGTGTTATTGCAATGTCCCTGTGTTCTGAGGAGTCATACTGTGAGTTCTAAGGGCTTTTTAAAAATTGGCTCCAGGGAGATGGAAAATGTTCTGTGTTGTTAAGAATAACACAACTAAGAAAAGGACTCGTCTTCCCTAAGGAGAGAAATTCCACTGAGTTTGTGAACGCCAACATGGCTGTCGTGGCCTCACGTGTAAGAACCAGGCTATTTTTAGAAAGATGCCAGATTGGTTAAACAAGGTAGTATACCAGTGTTTTCGATCGGTCAGTCCGAGTTCATTATACCGTTCAATCCAAGCCTTGCGCTTTGTCGAGTTAGAATATTGTGGTTTTATGCTCACTGCTTAAGCTGAGCGTGCATTATATTTTCTACAGATGCACGACTGGAAATTACAGAGTAGAGTACGTGTATCAAAGTTGTTGTGTTGTCAAAGTAATTACCGGCCCTTCTCAGATGTAAATACGGTATTTGCACCCCCTTTTCCTCCCCTCCCCTCCCCTGCCCTCCCCGCCCCTGAAGGTAAGGCAAAAATGAAACTTTTGCTGTCTGTCTTCAGTTATTTGTAACCGGTAGAGTGAAAATATTTGCATTTGCTGTGAATAGCACAAGACGACCTTTCACTTTTATGTGATTTATTTCAGGATTACAGGAAAAGAACACAAAGTCAGAGGCAATTTTGCCGTTAGCTGTTTGCCGTAAGCATTATGCTTAATCCAATATTACGAGTTTGAGCGCGCGCAATTAATCTTTAGAGCATTTTATAACGGACTGATAGTCCACTTGCTCCTCGTGCATTGTTGAGTTATGTAATCAATTGTGAACTTTTAAGAACAGGAGTGAAGTTCATAGAGAAGTTAAACACGAGTTGCTCTACTAAATTCTCACGTGCTTACTACACTAGTTACGCAACGTTTTCGAGTAGTATTCCATGGAATATCCCTCGAGTCTCTTGTATTTTCCCGGTATGCACGCGAGCCCTTAGGCGATTGTGTATACCAAGAAAAAAAATTGAAAGTGTTGCATAATTAACGTGTTTTTTTATAGCAAGTCATAGAACCAAATCATAGAGTGGCCAACAAAATCAGTGTAGCTCAGTACGACCTCCGCGCAGCGCACGATGGGAAGATTGGGTGTATTGCCGTCGAGCATACAACGGCCTTCCTGTATTCTGATTAGCTGCTGGGATAAAAATAAAACACTCGCGCGGGTCGACAAAGTCCGCAAGGACGTGAGGTATGCTAGCGTCACTCCCTTAGTCTTAAGTTCTATGCTTCCTGGAGGAAACACGGTACGTGAGCCTCTTTTATTTGCTTTAAAAGTTTATGAGCAACGAGTTGCCTTTAAAAACGAGTTTCGCTTTTAGTTTGAACACGAGATATAGCGCTGAGGATCGGAATTTGTTTTTCAAATTCTTCTTACCGAAAGAGTGTCTAAATTCCTCCAGCCAAAACACACACCACTTGATGTAAAAAAGATATGCAGTTTTAGTCGTGAAATTGAAATTGCACGAAAAGCGAAAATTCCAGGATGAAAAAGGTTACTGGCCTGGCTCACACTGACTAGTGACATAACGACGTAACGACATTTAAGTCAGTAATGGGAACATGGACATAAAGACATGAAGAAAGATTTTTTTTTCACTATGTCTTGATATTCATGTTGTAACGTTGCTATTACGTCATCATGCCAGAATGTTCATACTGCCAACATCATGAAAACGACATCACGTTCTTATGTCATAATGTTTATTTCGTTAGTGTGAACTACTCTTAACAATTTCAAGCTGCCCTTGCATAGAAAACGCCTGATAATGGCCTTAGAATTCATTATGATTCGCGGGCTGCGCCGAGCAACACGCTCAACTCTTTGCTAAGTTATTGAGGTAGTTGAAGATTTTTAAGAACACGCGAGAAACACATAGAGGAGCCACCAAGAACAGCGGAGTGCCTCTCACGTTTTTCATAGGTGATTATACAAGCAAGCAAGATTATATAATTAAGTTGACTATTTCTTCTCTTGATAAAATGTACTAAAAATTGCGCTCATTCAAACTCGTGACTCAGGTCGCGTGCGTTGTAACTCAATTAAGTACGCGCGTGACGAAGGGCACGCCGCCTTATGGAGTAATGTAATGAACTCGAACTGAGCCGCCGAGCAATCGTAGAGCACGCAATTTCTTGAGTCTTTTATAAATACTGGAGATAGAACTGAGTGGGGACCAGTTCGATCGGTAATAATACGACCGATTAACAAAAACAAAGAGGCCATTATGGTCTCTCGCAAAAACTAACGACCTCGTACGGCCCGCGGTTGTCCGATTTCACCTGGTTTTAAAAATCACCGTGACCATGACAGAATTGGACGACATGAAGGCTGTGAAGCCCTGTTCCCAATAAAACAAAACTATGTAACGAAATTGTTAAAAATTCTTACAAGTGTGTTTTGACGAAGATGCATAGGAAAAGGACTCTATTCAAGCACATCTGTCCAAGAAAAAGCATGCGTACTGATGACGCATATTCTCCTTAAGAAATAGTGTACCGTGTTTCTATCGAGTAATTATAAAAACACGAATGGAACCAAGTTGGGAGAACGAGAAATGCTATGGGACCACGAACCAACGGGCGAGTGTTTCGACAGCTTTTTTGAGTTCTCCCAAGTTCTCGAGTGTTTCTATAACTCGATAGAAAAACAGAGAACATATTTTCTATTTTCTTGTAGTAAATTCTGCGACGAAAAAAAGAGAACAACTTGTTTACTTAGATCAACCAACGCGTTCTAACGTCAATATGTCTGTAGCCGATATAACGCGCCCTCTGACTGGCCATTTTTTAGGTAAGATTCTTCTTTACTGCCCACTGCTACGAGGAGTTATTGTTAATGCCCTGTTAAAAATAGGGTTCGGATAAGAAAACATTGGGAAATACAATTGATTACAAAAAGATGCGAAAGTAAACTAAGACGTTCCGAAGTCATCTTGACTCCAATATCATCATGCAAGTAGAGAAAAGAAAACAACGGTCGAGATGTTAATTTACAGATTGAAAGGTGGAAAAATTCACGAAAGAAAAAGGCAAAACTCAATACACAGGCGGACTCAATTCGTTCGAAAGTATTAATCTGAGGTTACTACGCACATAAGAACTCTTAGCCCATGCTACTCTTTAATACATCTTACACCTTTCACACTATACATTAACTTCTTTCCTTTTCACTGCTTGATAAAGGAGTCACGATGACTTCGAAACGTCGTAGTTCACTTTCGCTTCTTTTTGGAATCAATTATAAATAGAGTGAAAGATAATTCAAGACGGTTGCATCTTTTTATCAAATCCACAACTCGGTTGCAGACGCTATAGGCCTGGTACCCACTCCCTGCCCCTTTCATTCCTGCTCTCTACCCCCCCCCCCTCCCACCTCACTGGTACCCACTCCCCGCCCCTTTCATCCCAGCCCTCCCTTCCCCTCTCCTCGAGGCCGTTGGTTGCATAGAATCGTTGATAAAATTTTATCCTCTCGAGTTAAAAACCACAACAGAAAACATAGTTAGGACTAGCAACTAAACGTAAACAGGGCTGAGACCACATCACATCCAAACACACATCAAGAGGTCCGCAGGAAAATTACAGACTTATTTATGGAAACTCGGGTGGTGTGGATAATAAACAACTGCAGGATCGAGGGAGAATGTGTATATGATAAAAGACCTAACGTCGACTAGAAAGGGGCATGACAGTTTGGATTGGTTTTTGTGCAACCGTTATTTTAGATTACAGTTGTCTTGTGTCAACGGCGGCAATTTGTCCCCGTCATCAACCGCAACTTGAAATAAACTAAGCATTTCCGGCTTAGGCAACCACAATATAAACCGCAAGAACGTTTCTACTGAAAGAAGCCGAATGTTACTCCTGACACTCAAGGTATATATTTTTTTAAAAGCTATTGAAGCATGGCGACGCAATTTATCAAATCACGTTTAATATGAAAGATTTTGAAAGACGAACTGGTCTGTACATGTTATTGCAATCATTATACATCTCCTCTTCTTAAATCACGTGTCGACAGGAGGTTAGCAACCTCTATTTAGATCTGTTAGCAACTTTCCGGCACAATGGTCGACTTCGTAGAAGTGTCAGGGTTCGTACTTCTGTCACTTGCAAAATGTAAACTGACATAACGTATTTAACTTTCCCCACGGCGATAGGACACGCTTATTAACCAACGGATTCTAGCAAAACACAAACAAATGGTTCTTAAAACTGTTGTGCCCTGCGGTTTTATTGGCTCATGGTAATTGTTTACTGAACAATAGCCGTTTGGCACCCTATATTTTTGTTGCATAAACCAATTAGCATGAATAAACTAGCGTGAAGTTTATGTATCTCACTTTGAAGTTGTTGCAAACAAATTGCCACTTCAACGTTAGATAACCAGCTTAGAGACGAGAGGGGAATTGACCTACACGTTTATATGGATGTTTCTGACAGCAGAAACGCTGAAAATAACCACAGATTTTGATCTTATGACGTTTGAACAACAGGACGTCTGTTATCTGTTTCATGCTGTTTCAATCTGGCTCACTGTCATATTTTTTCTTTGTGTTGGTTTTAGCACGTTCTCAACGCGAATTTCAACCATTATTTCCGTCACCGATTTTTGTTGCGCACAATTTTTTTTCCGTAATGGTATAAATATTCTGTTCATGTAGAATATTATTTACGGTTGGACACTGTCCGTCTAGAAGCACCTTCTACTGACCCAACTCTTATCCTCCCGAGATGAAAATAGTCGAAATGCAATCGCAGATCTCAAAAGCGCTAATTGTTCAAAAAATCAGTAGCATTCTTACGGTCAAGGGTAGCGATTAATCCGGGCGATTAATTAAGCATGCTTTTTCTTCTGGCTTGTAAGTAAGCTGAATTAAAAGTATTCTCATCTAATCCTACCAGAGATGTCTAACAATGGAAATCACTTCTAACAATAGCCTGTCAAAGGTGGGAGTAACGGAAAACAGAAATAAAGGTATTTACGCCGGCAGAATGCTTTATTAATTGCTAACCCTGGCGACCTTGTGGTTTACGTGCGTCTAGAAAACAATTTGACTGGCTTAGCGTGCAAGCGTCACGTTTTTAAACCTACAGAAATCCAGTGCAGTATTTGTAGTTAACGTCAAACGACTACAGAAGTTAGATCGGTGAAGTGATCTGCTACAGCAAACTGGAACGAGCTGACAGAAAATGCCAAACAATCTTAAAACGTTGAATACGTTCTCCGAGCTATTCAACGAAGGCGTTGTACATCGAAGCATTCCTCCATGTTCGGCAAGTTTATTTACCACACCAAACCCCACAGTTAACGGATTCTGTGAAAGCTCTCCCTCCGATATTTGCGACAGAATGCTCAAGAGTATAAGAGCTCACAGTGGCGCATTGGATTTTAAAGCTTTAAGCACACCTCAGTCTATTCAAGACGATAACATGACTTCGCCAGACGCTCGACTTCGCTGCAATCATTTTCCTGAAGAAACTGTTCGCGAAAACAAGGAAAAAGGTGCGAGAAATGAAGACATTTCTTGGACAGAAATCGACATAAACAGCTTCCTGAGATCTCAATCAAATTTGCCTCTATCGACGCCATATGTGGGTTTGAGAAATCGTTTAAATGGACAAAATGGTATTTTTGGGATGCAAAATATTACTGTCGTCCACGACAAATCTCGTACTGGTGAACCAGCGACAGAATGGAACAGAATACAAAACGTGCCCGCTAGCAAGAGAACATCGCCTCAGAAGGATAAACAACCACAGGTTGAACGATTGTTTAGTATTGGAGACAAAGGCGAGGAGCTCAATGAATTTGACGAGCCTGTGGGAGTCACTTTCAACCCAGATGGAGACATCATTGTCGCAGATTACAACAACGACAGATTACAAGTGTTTTCCAACGACGGAAACTTTATACGCGTGCACGATCATTATTCCAGGGAAAGCGGCAAGCGGTTCCCTTTCATTTCTCCCACTGGCGTTGCTTGTGATGCTTCCGGGAACATTACAGTGGTTGAAAAAGGAAAAAACCGGGTTGTAGTTCTCTCGCCAGCTGGGACAATTCTGCACGCTTTTGGTCGACATGGCAGAGAACAAGGCCAATTCAGGGGTCCCCACGGGGTTTCTGTAGACGCTCGAAGCCGTATCATCGTCACCGATACCATAAATTGCCGCGTTCAGGTTTTCGACCACGAAGGAAACTACCTCTTTATGTTTGGCAATCAAGGACCTGGGAAACTGAACTACCCCTGTTTCGCAATATTTCATGAGGGCCGATTCTACGTTGCTGATACCGACAATGACTGTGTAAAAGTCTTCGACACCCGTGGGACGTTTCTGAGAACTTTTGGAGACAATTTCAGCGCACCATCTGGAATTGCGGTTTACAAGAATAAATATCTACTCGTTTGTGATTATAGCAATGACTGTGTGAAGGTTTTTTCTCTCGAGGGACGGATGTTGACCAAATTTGGCACAAGAGGGGAGGGAAAGGACCAGTTTTTCGGGCCAGAAGCAGTGGCAGTGACTCGACAAGGAAAGATTGCTGTGAGCGATAAACTCAACTGTAGAATTCAAATATTTGATATACGTATTTAGTCGATATCAAGATCTATATTGACAATTATAAGACATTGAAAGATATCTATCTATTCTATATGCGACGATACAATTATGTGTATTTTTTAATTTCTTCTAAGCTAATATGAACTTGAAACCCTCGGCTAAGAGAGAGAAACTCTGACTATAGAATCTTGATAAGGAGACCGTTTTGTCAATAGCAGTCAATAGCAGTCAATAGTCTTCATTTGTTGTCGAGAACGTCAAAACTGATTACCGGGAGTGAAACTAAAAAACTCATTAATTCTGCGTAAATTTGCATGCTATAATAGCGAATCCTTTGTTAAATTAGGCACTTTGAATAAGTTGCCCCAGCGTGAAATTGTTGATCGAGCTTTAAGTCTCCCCAGTGTAGTTTAACGGTCGTTCAAATTTCAATAGCTGAGTTAGTCCTCCCCCCCCCAAACTCCAAGTATCATCTGCAAACTCTAAATAAGCTTAGCGTTTTAACTTGACGAGCTAATCTCCAGATCTAATGATTTACAAGGCCTGGTTTCCTTTTGCTAATTCCTCGCCTAAGGTTACAGAACTGTCCAGGGGTACTTAAGAAGTTTGAGAGGAGTTTCGAAAGAAAAGCCTTTCGTTTTACACATTCTTTTTCAATCCAAGGGAAACAAACTAACATAGAGCAAAAGGCTCGGGAAATCATTCTTTTAAGCTAAATTAATCGGCTTGAAACATGCTTCAAGTTGATGCAATTATTGTAGTCTTGGGTCGCTTCAGATCCATCTCAATCCTATAATTGAAGTTTAATAATTTGAAGACTTTGTAGACGACTTTAGAATAAAACTTTGTATGCATTTCTCAGTTGGCAAACTTTCTCGTGTTTATCAATTTCTCTTTGCAAGTTTGCATGGGTTTCAGAGAAAGCCACGTACAATGTGTGAAGCGCATTCTATTTTTAGCCCCAAAACTGCGTTGCATTATTTTAAGTCTATATCTAGTACCATTATAGTCCGGGTGCCCACGCTGGGAAAGGGGGTTAAAAAATGATTTCGTTTACTCGACGAGCTGGCAGACTTTGACTCACCCAGCAGTGTTCTTTAGACCTTAGGGAATAATAATGGGGTGGCAGTGGAGTTGACCAAGTGGGCCATGGTAATTATAATTTACATTTTATTTGTTCACGCAATCTTAAATGTCTTTTTGGCGAGGGCATTTTACAGTTGTTCTTATTTTTGTATTAAGTTTCTTTCACTTAGCAATTAAAAACTATTGAGAAAAATATCACAATTCAGACAGAAGATACAAGGCGTTTTACATCCAAAATAAAATAAAAATCTAATTATTGAAACTTAAGTTGCCTGTAGCATTGAGAAGTCGCGTCTGTAAACTTAAAAACAGGCTCATAAGTTATCTACGTCTATCTAAAGGAAAAATAAAAGTTTACTCTGCTAGATGGTCACTGCACCCATTTAGTAATCACTTGACCTGTGCTTTTCTCTTTCGTGAACGTGAGGGGTAGCTCATTGTGCCCCTGCCCACGTATCCTCAAAAGTATTAACTTAATAAAGTATGTTTAATTCTTCTGAGCAGTCTCTATACAACTAGTGGTACAAAATTACCCCCGACCCCACATTGGCGTTGCAGAAAACTGCCCGCTCTAGAGTTTCCACTGCCACCCTAGCATTAACTACCAAGTTCCAAGGAACAATTCTAGTAAAGATAAAATTTGCCAGCTCTCCAAATAAACGGGACGACCATAGTTGGTCACGAGCACCCGGATTATTAATAAATGTATGATAGACTGATTCTTATCATCTTTCAAAGCATTGAATTGTATTCTTTTGTCGAATTTCGCGCCGCAATTAGCCATCTTAAGCCTGATACACACAACTGATTTACGACGCTCAACACGTGATATGGTTAACATACAACAAGAAGAGTTATAACAGCGAAGAACCGAAACTCAACTATCTGGCTTTCGTCGCAGTTAATATTGAGTAAATCCAAAAGTTTTTGAATCAATTCTTTGGCGAGTTGTGAGAAGAAAAGACAAAACTTTCTGTAACTGTCACTGATTTCACTTCCTATTTGCCCTATAGAACGAAAAGACAAAAACTGATTAAACACTCTTTCTATAGATCGATTTAGCTCTCTGTTCATAGAGACAGATGGAGACATATGCGCCTTAGATTACAGTAGTTGCAGTCAATCCTATTTTGAATTTCTTTTGCCAGTTCTTAAACTTGGCACTCGTATTTTTTATAACATTTTTGCTCTTATTCTGGAAGTCGGGGAGCTTTTCCACGCCGGGTATTGTCACGTAGTGAGCTGAGCATTGCACAGACAGTCTGCGATTGGCTTCCATCGCAATATGAGCTTCTTGGAAAGCCATCTTCGCCGCCCTGGCAGCAGAAGTATACTTGAGCTTAGCGATCTCTTTCATTCGCGTCTCTCGCCCGCCAGGCGCGCTCTCGGGATTGTCGGTTTTGCACGCTTTCACGATCTCAAGTTTATTTGGTATTAACGTATTCACGTTTTCTTGGTACCTTGCCAAGGAACCGCGTCTATTAGCGGTCTTAGCATCAACTTTGATGACGTCAGACACTAGAGAAGCCCTCCTTCGCTCTGGTTTGTGTTTACTCGGTGACACGGCAACCGTTATAACGTCTGTGACCAATGAACTTCGGCGCCTTGATTTTTGTCGGTTAAAAGCTTCTTCAGGGATCGCTTTCCTTCCCCCTTCAGTTTTGTGCATAGACTTTGACTTTATTTCCTTTTGAGCCAGAGACCGCAGTAAGTCATCGCGCAGGCTCGCACGACAACTCTTATCGTGGATTTCATAACCGGAAATAGTATGACGTCGACCCTGATTGGTCTGTTTCGTGACATAAGTGGGTGCTGCGAATGTGAAGCAAGTGACCATTCCTCTGTTGGACTTTTCGCCGATTTTGGCGTGTACTTGTTTTACGTCCACAGGGTATGTTTCCTCTTCTGAAAAACACAAAGGAAAGAAAGAAAAAAGATGGGCGTGATGCTTTTCATGGCTCATAATAATAATAATAATAATAACAATAATAATAATAATAATAATACTAATACTAATACTAATACTAATACTAATACTAATACTAATACTAATAGAAAGACTTTCATCAAATCCGAAGTCAAACCAAAACTAACCGTAGCTCACTCACACACGTTTTCCCGCGCTTCGCGTCAGCCTCATGCATTTACCTCGAGTTTTGATTGGTTCACTGGATTGTCTATGACATTTGTGATTGGCCAGGGTGATAAGTTGAAAGTAACTGACAAATTGAAAAAAACTTCAATAAAAACTACTTCAGTTGGTCGTAAAACCACTGGGACCCGGTGATCCCTAGTTAAAGCTGAGCTCTGAGCTCTGGTTTACATGGGGTATCAGTCTGTAAACTATGGCAAGACAGAAGGGAAGTTACATTTCGTCATTTCAACGTATATTAGCAACAGTTTCAATGAAGACAATTTCAAGCCAACAGAGAAGTAGCCTAGTAAACTGACTTTTAGAAGCTCATTTCCTTGAGTTATTAGAAAACGTTTGCTTACCAAATTCATCTGTCTCTTGAGGGGCACATTCTGAAGGCTTACGCACGAGGACCGGGTTGAGATGTTCCTCAAGATAACTCAATTCGGGATTATCCTTGATGGCCTTTATGCACCAGGGGCTCCGAAAGACTTGCTCCGCCGAAGCCCGCTCATCTTGGTTCGTATTGAGCATCCAACGAACCAGGTCCCGATATTCTGTTATAGAAAGAGTCAAGATGCTGTGTTGTCTTCATTAATATAGACAAAAATGTGAATTCATATTCCAGAACAATACATTACCTAGCTATACCACTGGGGATATGTAAGTTGCAAATTCTCATGCACCAGGAGCCATAATCGGGGACGGAGACCGTAAGCGCGCGCCATTTCTCGTATTGGGGTTGTCCCCATGATATGGGACAATAAGTATGGGTTATT